TTCTATATGAAGTGTTTATTAAGTGGGCGGGGTTTGGAGTTAAGGGGCGGAGCTTCTTCTTAATTTCTTCTTCGAAGTTTAATTTATCCATCCATCAAGTTAGAGGGTGACTGCAATCAATTTCAACTTCATTCCAATTCATTTTTCACCGGTAGTTTCAACCGCTCTTATCTATGGAATTTTAGGGTATGTGAAAAAACCGGGTTCTGGTATTTTCTTCAAAATTTCGTCATGTGCTCAATGCAAAGTTCCAGTAATTTTTCAGTCTTCAATGCAAAGTTCCGGTAATTTCCAGTCTTGCGAGGCTTATATTGACCGGCGTGCCACTTTGCGTTCGAAGCTGTAGTTAGGTAGTTTTCGAGGAACAGCAGTGATGGCGGCTCTCTCACTGGAGTCCCCTCGAACCATCTGCTCGAGGTCGCGGCTGAATTCGTTCTTCACGCGTTAAGTTGCACACAGCAAGCCCGGTACATTATGCCCAAATCAATGCCTTCTGGATTAAGGACAAGGCTTGCTCGGGAGAATATCTGCTCTGCCTACCAAAAAAGAGGCAACCTGTTGTAATGCTCTCTTCTTTACCCTCAGGTGCCGGCTTGTGGTCTGAAAGCCCTCGCCAACGCTTTCTTCTGTTTGATCGACTTTGCGTTAGAGCTTCTATTATCCTTTTTAACTTTATTCATATAGAAAAATATATATGTATATAACTTCAACATGTATACATGTCCACACGGCTAAGAGTAGGCCCGCACGTCTCAGAGCCTGGCAAGCTGCACGTGGATATTAATATGCCAAAAACAGTAATGAAAATGGGCCTCATTCCCCTGAACCTGAGGGACCCCCCAAAACTGCAGCGTAGGGTAGGATCGCTCCGAAGAAGCTCTCGAAATCTCTGGAACTCGACAGGTTGCCTAAAAGGAGAAGGACTAAGATGGCGATCTGCGCTTTTGCACGAATGCTTCTATCGGATACGGTCTGGTGATGCAAGCCAGGAATATCAAGTACGATGTCATCGAATCAACTGAGACGAGAAGGCACCGCCCGTTTTTCACAAAGGAGAAGAACTGCTCCTTTGAACATGCGATAACAGAGGCGCCGGCGGTGTAGGTGTCCTCGTCAACAAGCACTTGACCATGAACATCGATTCGTACGAAAGGTTGACAACCTGAATCGGGAGTTGGCGATTGAGAAGATGTCGTTCAATCCTAGCTCTAGCAATCTTCGTTGGTTAATCACCAACATCGAGCTACGACGAAGAAGAGCTGGAAGAGTTCTCAATGGATCTAGAAAGGCTCTACAGAAAAGACCATACTTTCCTCGAGGTCTTCGTCTGTGATTTCGACGCCAAGACTGTCCCCAGCCACATCGGGACCCATGGAATGGAATGGAATGAGCAGGGTGAAAGGCTGCCCGAGTTTATCATCTCGACCAACATATCCATGGTAAATCGCAGTTCCAGGAGCCCTCTAACTCACGATGGACATGGGAGTCACCTGGAGGACAGTTCCTTAATAAAATAGATCAAATAATCGTCAATCGAAAGTTCTGCTTGACTGACTTCGCTGTTGTCCCAAAGTTCCATACGGCATCGGACCATCGCCTCCTCCGCGATAGATTCCCCTTTTCAGTGCGTGGAGAGCGAGCTGCGAAATGCAGTAAAGGAACCTTGAGACTGTTGTCAGTTGGAATCACTTCGCTCAATTGGCGAGTCTGTGGGAAGATACCGTTCGACAACATCGATGAAGAATACGACCGAACAACTCCAGGATGGCGCCAGGGAAACAGAGAGTCTCACAGATGACGAGAAAGTCTCTCTTCGAAGACTCGTGAGCTGGTACGCCAGCGTGGAATTGCACGACCTGCAGGCAATAGCCAGTTAACGTCCGAACTTGCGAAGCTATGCAGAGAGGCGAGAGGAGAGATCTCAAAGAGAGAAGAGTAGCATTTCCGACTTAAGCTGAGCTGGAAAGGGTATTTGCAAAGCCCGCCGGGGCTTCGTCAATCATAAGAACAAAATGACTTTTCTTCGTCGTCCTGACGGAGCTGTTACTGTAGGCCAAAGGGCAAGGTCATCACTTTGTTGAGGAATGCTACGGTGAGGGTCCCGACAGAATCAAAGCGGAACATCTGAAGAGCTTTCCGACACTCATTTTGAAAAACCCTGGCCCGACCTTGCGGTACCTGCCGCAATGCAATGTGCCCACTTCTTTGAAAATTAGCAAGGCCGTGTTGCTGTATAAGAAGGGAAGTCCAGACGACATCGGCAATTATCTCTCAATTTGCCTGCTATCTGGGCAAGTAGGGTTTCGGAGAGGTTCAGCACAATCGATCACAGCCACACCGTTACAAGACTCATTAGAATGTTTGCGTTTTGGAATCATGGTGTTCCTACTTGATATATGATGATGCTTCGTGAGCTCTACAACTTCACCACCAGGATCCCGCCATTCTACAAAGAAGTCATCATCGACGTGAGGAGAGGGGCTCGACAGGCCGATACCATCCAGCCCAAACTTTTCAGTGCAGCTCTCGAGAACGTCATGCGTCACATGGAATGGGAAAGCATGGAAGTGAAGGTCGACCGCCGCTACTTGCAACATCTCTGCTCTAAAGATGACGTCGTGCTATAACACCGAACACCGATGTTCGTGTGAAACGGAATGGTTCCCGATGCTCCTTTCACGAAGAACGGAACGAATATCTCTGATTGCTCTAGCTAAGTGTGTCTAAGTCGGGAAGTCAATATGATGAACAACCTGGCTCCGGAACTGAGCAGAAGGAAACACGCGGCGTGTGAAGCATTCAACAACATCGAGGGAGTAGTGAAAAAGATGAAGAACATCCTCTGCACTCATCTTCTCAATACTGCGGTCCTCTCTGCTTTGACATTCGCCTCAGAGCTCGAACTCTAAAAAAGCAAGATGAGTATGGGGTTGGCGTCATTCAACGTGCTGTGGAAAGGACTACGCTCGGAATTTTCCCATACACGCAGATGCAGAAGAGAATCCGGAGTTCCGAGCTCCGTCGTTGAACGGAAACCAGGAATGCCGCTGATGGCGTCAAAAAATCGAAAATCAAAATAGCCGGGCACGTCATGCGATACAGTGATGACTGTTGGACGCGACCCCTCGGGACGTGAAATGGACACCAAGACGACCGCCGACCCGATGGTCAGAATCCTTCACGAAGGCTCTGAACGGAAGGAGTGTTTTGCGCCACGTCCCTCGAGCGAGAATGATTCACTCTGAACGGCTCTGGCTCACGACAGGAACGAATGGAGACCGGTGCTTGCTCGAAGAAATCGATTAATCAACGGGACGACAGGAGACACAGGTGATGGGTGCTTCACGAATACGAAGCCAAATCAAACGTTAATCTTGCGTGTCTACTCACAATCCAGCTGAATGTTCTGGACATGAACTTTCTCGAACATTCCTCTACTCAACCTGTCCAAAAACTCTACGTACCAATTCTTTTTTTCATAGAGATACGGCAGAAACTTTTCGACGTCATGGTATTACCTTCGTTAACATTGCTAATTGGTCCTGAGTGCTTTTGATCTATTGACTTGTTTTGATGCGCTCCTGCGAATGAAATGAAAGCTCGCCCTTTATATCTGATGACGAGTTCGCGCAAGTTTTTTTGAGTCATCTGTAGACAGATTTTCAATGCCTACATCAAGTTTGCCGATTTTCACGCTGATGACGAGTAGTTTAATTTATTTGAATAATCTTATTGTTTTAATGAAGTCGATTTTTTCCTATGAGCAGAGAAATTTTCTCAACTAATTGCCTCGACTGTTCTAAAATTCATAGTGAAGCTCTTCTGCTCTCAGATAAGAAAAATCTTGCTTCCTGATCATCCATGAGTATGCGATTAATTTAAAGAAAAACAAACATAAATATGAAGTCGCAGCTTATTCCAAAAGTCACCAGAATTTTCCATTGGATGTGCTAATTTTCGCGCATCCTGAACCCAGGGTGTTGTAGAGGTTGCGTCATTCGCACTGGGACGCACACGTTGCATGCAGACAGCTTACTGCAGCCAAGTGCGCGCAATGGCACACAAATTTGGACAGCTTAAGCGAACCTCTTCCGTGCAACTTATCTCGTCATATTCTCGCCCAACTCCTGATTTTCCTACCTTTCAAAGTATTATTTCTATCTAAGTACGCAGATTTTCGCTGTTTCCTTGTCATTTCCGCCCTACGCTGGATTATCACTTCCACTCTCTGCCTGAAATTGAATACCTAGAACTATTGTGTGCTTTTGAAGACGGTTAGCACGAGAAGCGAAAGCAGAGCATCAATCGGCAGTAGAGTAGGCGTGATTTCGTCTTCGTAATCTCGTCGGCTGCTGCTTCTAATCGTCGGATCTTTTTTCACTCGGCTTTTGACCACAGCAGCGATCAAAAATTCTCCGAAAGCACAGACAGCTGGATCTTTCCTTTCACGATTCCGTCACCTAGGCCGCGAGTTTGCGGAATTCAACCTAAAAGTGACACTTCCTACGAAATTGGAAGCCTGCGGTTATAGCTTCTTTATCACCAGCTTTCATGAACTGTAAGTAACTGTTGTGCTTTTCTAACGCTTGATCCCTCTTACATATCGTAAATCGCTCAAAAGAAGAGAGACCCGGGAATCGAATTCAAAAACTTATCACCTATCGGCTACAGCACTCTCCACCCATTCAATCGTTGTGTGTACTGCCTTCAAACTTCACAAAAGCCAAGATCAGCCTTCAATGAGCAAAAAGCTAGAGGCTAAGGCATTAACAACGTACCTCATTGATATAGTCACCGTCAATTTGCCCTTTGGTGTTTTTCGGCAGTTCTATACGAATTTCTTTCAGAGGAGCTGTGGTGGTTCTATCAGTTACTGAGTTCGATTCTGGCTATAAAAAAGCGGCCAGAGGTATTAAACGGATTTGGATTTCGCGAAAAGAAAACGTTGCTGTTAACGGCGCTTGCTTTACCGACCACCTGCTGTGGCGGTAGCTGACTAATGAAGCTGGGTCCATATGTAAGCAACTTTTTCTTACAACGTATGCGGTACTATTGTGTATGGCGCTTTATGAGCAAAGCATCTCGGCAAGAGTCTCTCTAGATTATGGTCTCTACGTAGTTCTATGCGAAAATACTGAAGGCTCAGGGAGAATATTCCAACACTTCGTCTGAAAAATTTGTGAGAGTGTTGATTGCTTAAAGAAATTCCATGATTGCTAGCTGTTGAACACTTACATTACTCGCTAAATATATACTAGTACTGATAAGAACTCGAAAATCCACTCAAATACAGGGAACTCGCGACATTTTCGTATTTTCTCCATAAGTCGGTTCAAAGCAGAGTACTCCACAAGCTGAAGATACTGTTGAACTCAGCTCGTCAAACTCTGTGAGATGGTACTCTGAAGTATTGAAAATGCTTTGTTTCAGATTACGCGATGCACGTGAGTTTCATCCGAACAGGAGCTGCATGTGCATGGGGAACACGCTTTAGTGCTTGTAGGAGCTGATTTGTCTGAGTGTTCAGAATTCGCTCTAGAGTAGAGTATAGAGTGTACAGAATTCGCTCTAGAGTATGCCACGTACTCAACCTCACTCAGTACAATATGAAAGTGAATGATTGATTTTGCTCAGCCTCCATCGTTCATTTCTAATGTGGAGGAGGTAAATGACTGAATCTACAGTCTTTGCACCCAACACACTCCTTTCATGCCGAAATGAGAATATGACATCAATCCCCGATAAACAAATCAGCCGAGTTTTTGACAATTTCAAACTTTATGCAGAGCTTTCTCGTCGAAATTTAAGAAGGCGGCGTCAAAGGCAGTCTACGATCAAAGAGTTATCTACTACTAGGTAGTAGACAACTCTTCAATCCTTTCTAGACTGTTATAACACATCTCATCGATCTGATAGATCGAAGTTTCTTCCTTGGTGAGCCTCATACTTTGCTCTTTGTCACGCGAAAATAATAAAGTTATGTTTTTCTTTTCCCATTGGCCTCCTCGCAACCAAGTTGTGCAATGTTATATCCCCCGTAAGGAATACTATTTTTAATGATATATGGGTTAACCCGTGATGAAAACCTCGCTTCAAACCATTTTTCACCGACCCCACTCAGGATTTATGCATGGTCGCGGAAGACCACAGTACCCCGAGAGGATCCAGACCACAGCTAGGGACCATAAGCCTTCGCAGAGACGCAGGTGATCGCGAAAGTGCACGGATCTCAGAGAGACGCGGCATACACGTGCGAGGCACTGCAGGCAGGCGGGTGCGCTTCGATGAACCTAGGTCACGCCGCAGCCGTAGCATGCGGCGCGTCAGCTCGCGATGCTTGCCGGACATCGCAGTGGGACATACGCGCTTGGTCTACAGCAATCAGCTCAAAGAGAGGATAACACAAACTAATGCAAATGGCTCACTCCACTGACACTTGGTGGTACCGTGATGACATTTGGAGACCTCAGTGAGCTGCGCCGCTCACGAAGTGGGTGAGGTGGCCTAGTTTTGACGGACGCGCGGAACGGACTTCCCAACAGGCAGACAAAGCCCTGCTCATAGGAATGACACCGTCACGTGAATTACTGATGATTGTTAGCTATGGCAACGCAAGCTTGAATAATAAACTGAGTGGTTCCGAGTAACGTCTGCTTTGGAGAGTGTACAGCACAAAAATATACATATCAACCATACCGCTGGAAAGAGAGGATGGAATGGGTTGTCTTCATAGTAAAATATGCCTCGAGAGTCGAGTGGATTGTCACACCCCTGCACTACCCTAAGAATAGTCCATGATGGTGGAACAACCTCATCCCTGTCTTGTTGCTTTTCGTCAAAATGTAACTTTCAACCAGGGAAAATTTCACAAAATCAGGGTAGAGCGCGTACCAGAAAATCTCGCCGAATCGAAAATCTTATAACTGTGGATTGACCCAAACTAGACAGTCATTTTGAGTGCAGCGGCAGTACTTTCCGTTTACTCGCATAAAAACATAAAAGTATAAAATACAGATAATGTTTTTCCACCGTTTTGCCGTACGGGTTTGTTATGGCAGAAACCGCTTTATTGGTCGACGTTTCGAAAAATCGTCGTATTCAGGACCTGAAAGCAGTTTGGAGCTTCTGATCTGTGGCTCACCCGACCAAGCGCCCAGATGCGCTAGCCCAGTTGCAACAGTTCTCAGAAATTTGGACACCAAAAGATCCCAACCGAGAAACTAACCTTCTGCGGTTCCACCAATGTTGTCGTCCCACTCAATTTCGTGAACAAACAGGGACCAATAAGACACACCATTGAGAGTCGTTAGATAAGAGTTGCGCGGTGTTCTCAAAGCCCACGATAAGAAATGAACGGCAGAAATCCGCTTGTTATGGCAATGCACTCATTTCGGTTGTTCAGCTCGAGATTTCTGGATGTGGAACGTTTTCAAAATCTTTCTAGCACCGATCTCATTCTCGTAGGCTAGCATTTTGCATTTGATATCAAAATCATTGCCTTGATGTAATTCTACTCGATGCTTCCCCAGTGGCGTAAAAAGGCTTCCACGCCTTTTACCTGCTAGATGTTCCTTGACACGTATGCCTAACATCCTTCCCGTCTCACCAATATAAATATATTCCGTCACAGGCTGAACACTGAAGTTGGTACACTGTCCCTCGTTGTGTGCAATCCCCGTCCTTTCCAAACGGACAAATAACGCAGTTATTCGTAGGACATGCACGATCATAAAGTCTGTTGCGGATAAGGTGACGTTTGATATTGTCCTTCGGTAGGTTTACCAAAACAACATCATTCGCCAAATCCGCTTGAGCAACGCATTGTCGAACTTCTGCGCTAACTTTATCCGATATAAATGGAAGTCGGAGATGCATCGCATTCTCACGGTTTCTCAGCGAATACGCTTTTCAGCCTGACCATCTGTGTTGTGTACCATAGCCATTCAAGACTGCGATCTCGCATGCTAGCTTACGTGACTCCTCTCGTTCCACCTCGCCTGTACACACTCTCGTAGACGTTCTNTCTAATTTTGCAATCTTTCCAATTGACACCCACAAAGTATTCAGCTTGTGACAATGGGTGAGGAATGCCTTTTCGGTGGAGTGACCGTATACAGAAGTATAATTGAGGTGGAGTTCCGTGATTTCACGGTCTAGCGAACGAGTTAGAACCACGAACTCCCCTCCCTTGTCACTCACGGAAAGACGAATTTCACCATCGGCAACGCGTTTTCGTACCTCCCGCAATCCATCCCATGGTCCGTTCGTCATATTTGAAAACCTCTCGCGACCATGTCTTTTGAANTCGCATGCTAGCTTACGTGACTCATCTCGTTCCACCTCGCCTGTACACACTCCTGTAGCCGTTCTGTACATGTTACGAATTACTGCACGTTTCACAGCTTCAGGGTGAGCAGACTTAGCGTGGAGCAAGATGTTCTTGGAGCTGTTCTTCCGATACCACTTCACATGATACCTTCCACCTCAGATCTTTATCTGCGCGTTCAGATAAGGAAGCCAACCTTTGTGCGGAGCTTCTCTCTTGAACCTGATATGCTGTGGCTGTCGGTTACGGATGTCAAACAATACATCCATCTATTGCTGCGTTGACGTTATTACGCAGCAGTCGTCGATGTACCGACAGTACATAATGAGCATGCGCGCTATAACTGGCCTTTCTATCCTGCTCATGAAGCAGATAGCTAAGACCGGTGCTAGACGCTGACCCATAGCAAGTCCTCGCTTTTGGGAGAAGTACTGCCCGCTCCACTTGAAAATATTACAGTTAAGGCATTCCTTGATCAGAGCCATTATGTGAAACTTGCTCAATCCGAACGTCACAATTTCTGCTTCATGCTCATCCAGCATTTCTGAGACTGCTTGGAGAGCTTCGTCGTTGTTGACGTTCGTATGAAGCGCAGTTACATCGAACGACCCTACTACGCAGTTTTCTCGAAGCCTACATAAACGCAGGCGGTCAAGAAACTCATTGGTATTAATCAGGTGTGAGGGTACCTATCGGAGTAGCTGACTAACGATTTTGTTGAGGAACCAGGAAATACGGTCCGTTAGTCCTCCTACACAACTGATTATGGGTCTGATTTTATAATCACTAGCATTGACTGACTTTTCACCTCCCTTGGACAACTTATGAGTCCTGATCAGGCTATAGAAAACCGAGCACGAGGGTGTATCCAACTTCAATCTTCTAATCAACATTCCATCTAATTTTGCAATCTTTCCAATTGACACCCACAAAGTATTCAGCTTGTGACAATGGGTGAGGAATGCCTTTTCGGTGGAGTGACCGTATACAGAAGTATAATTGAGGTGGAGTTCCGTGATTTCACGGTCTAGCGAACGAGTTAGAACCACGAACTCCCCTCCCTTGTCACTCACGGAAAGACGAATTTCACCATCGGCAACGCGTTTTCGTACCTCCCGCAATCCATCCCATGGTCCGTTCGTCATATTTGAAAACCTCTCGCGACCATGTCTTTTGAAAGTTCTAGTACTCCCGACGAAAGTACTCGAAATTTTATGTCTTGTATGGGTTCTGGTTCTTTATAGAAGGAACGTGGGAATGGAATAGGCGCTACCATCGATGACTGCTGCGTAATAACATCAACGCAGCAAGAGATGGATGTAATGGTTGACATCCTCAACCGACAGTCACAGCATATTAGGTTCACGAGAGAAGTTCCGCACAAAGGTTGGCTTCCTTATCTGAACGCGCAGATAAAGATCTGAGGTGGAAGGTATCATGTGAAGTGGTATCGGAAGAACAGCTCCAAGAACATCTTGCTCCACGCTAAGTCTGCTCACCCTGAAGCTGTGAAACGTGCAGTAGTTCCTAACATGTACAGAACGTCTACGAGAGTGTGTACAGGCGAGGTGGAACGAGAGGAGTCACGCAAGCTAGCATGCGAGATCGCAGACATGAATGGCTATGGGACACAACACAGATGGTCACGCTGAAAAGCGTATTCGCTGAGAAACCGTGAGAATGCGATGCATCTCCGACTTCCATTTATATCGGATCAAGTTAGCGCAGAAGTTCGACAATGCGTTGCTCAAGCGGATTTGGCGAATGATGTTGTCTTGGTAAACCTACCGAAGGACAATATCAAACGTCACCTTATCCGCAACAGACTTTATGATCGTGCATGTTCTACGAATAACTGCGTTATTTGTCCGTTTGGAAAAGACGGGGATTGCACACAACGAGGGACAGTGTACCAACTTCAGTGTTCAGCCTGTGACGGAATATATTTATATTGGTGAGACGGGAAGGATGTTAGGCATACGTGTCAAGGAACATCTAGCAGGTAAAAGGCGTGGAAGCCTTTTTACGCCACTGGGGAAGCATCGAGTAGAATTACATCAAGGCAATGATTTTGATATCAAATGCAAAATGCTAGCCTTCGAGAATGAGATCGGTGCTAGAAAGATTTTGGAAACGTTCCACATCCAGAAATCCCGAGCTGAACAACCGAAATGAGCGCATTGCCATAACAAGCGAAATTCTGCCGTTCATTTCTTTTCGTGGGCTTTGAGAACACCGCGCAACTCCTATCTAACGACTCTCAATGGTGTGTTTCATTGGTCCCTGTTTGTTCACGAAATTGAGTGGGAAGACAACGTTGGTGGAACCGCAGAAGGTTAGTTTTTCGGTTGGGATCTTTTGGTGTTCAAGTTTCTGAGAGCAGTTACAACTGGGCTAGCGCATTTGGGCGCTTGGTCGGGTGAGCCACAGATCAAGAGCTCCGAACTGCTTTCAGATCCACGACGATTTGTCGAAACGTCGACCAATAAAGCGGTTTCTGCCGTAACAAACCTGTACGACAAAACAGTGGAAAAGCATTATACAATATGCCCAGGTTTCAAGAAGACCAAACGTGGAAAGAAAATACAGAATAATAATATAAAATTTATAATAAAATAAATATAATATAAGGCGAGAATATGATTGGGGGTGCCAGTGCCCTTTTTTGCTCTGCGTCTCCGACTGGCTCACCCACCCCGGAGATTCTCCCCTTCAAAGAAATAGGGGAGGAGCTCGGGGGTGGGTGAGCTAGTCGGATATTCAATTCTTATCCCACCCAGTTTTTTGCACGAGATAATCATTGCTCCCAACCCGGAGCTCCTCCTCTAACTTCTAGAAGGGTAGGAAACCACCTCTGCGCTCTAGCGCGATCTCTATGCCCTCTGGCGGCTAGTGTCAGAGAAGCAGAGCACAAAAAGGCGCTGGCACCCCCGAACTACGCCTTCACCATAATATTGGGTTGTGAGGAAAGCCTCCGCCGATATTCGACAACCCGGGCTCATCAACTGTTGTACGACACACAAGAACAAGAGCCTGAACTCATAAAATTATATATATTCTGAAAGGGTAAGCCTCCTCCGTATCCCGATTTAAGTTCTGTTAGTATTCTTCGAAGTTTCTCTGTATAGGACTAGTGTGAAATTTGAGCGTCGTCGCGTGCATTTGCGGCGCCTGATGCTTTTCTTCTACCGCAAGAGCAAGAGTGCTGCTCAATCCGCAAGAAAGATATGGTACGTTTAAATAGACATGCTCTAGGGGAACGTACAGTACGCAAGTGCTTTGTGGAAATTTTAACAGGGGAATTTACCCTCGAAATCGGCAACGCTCAGGAAGGCTATCACCAGTTGAAAACGACCAAATCAAAATATTAATCATAAAGAATCGGAAATAACTATTCGTGAGATAGGAGGAAGACATAGTATTTCGAATCCAACCATACACCACCCTTTGCTGGAAGTTGGCTTTGTTGAGCGCCTTGATGTTTGGTTACCTCACGAACTGAGCGAGCGCAATGTGATGGACCTCCATGTGCAACTCACTGCTAAAACGAAACAAAAAGGAGCTGTTCCAGAAACGTACGAAAACAGGGACAAAAAGTGGTCGCGTACAACAACGTGGAGTGGAAACGATCGCGGAGCCTTCCCAGCGAGCGGTCATAAACTACTTCAGAAGTCAAAACCCGGGAGAGGAGATTATGCTGTGTTGCTGGTGGGATTGGACATTTATTAGCTGTTGCCGCATAGTCGAACGATAACATTGGAAAGGTACTGTACTCAGCTAAATAATTTATAGGCAGCCATAGACCAGAAGCGCCCAGAAGTGCAAAATCGTAAGGGCGTTGTCTTCCAACAGAATAACTTTAGACCACACGTATTTTTGGTCACTCGTCAAAAAATGCTGGAGCTTGTTTGAAATGTCGTATCAAACCCACCATGTGGTCTAGACACAGCACCACCATCAGCCTACCACTTCTTTAGGTTTCTGCAAAATCTTCTGAATGGAAAATCGTTCGATCCACTAGAGGACTGCAAATAGCACCTGAGAGGGTTTTTCGATTCTAAGCCTAGAACTTTCCATGAAATTGTAATAACAAAACTGATAGAGAAGTGGCGAACCGTTACTGAACAGAATGGACGATACGCTGTTCGACGAGTGGATTTGATCTTCTAAAAATTTTCCTCTTGAAGATGACTCAAAAATCGGCTGAGACTTTCCGGACAATCCAGTATAAGTATAATACAAAACAAAAATATGATAGGAACCTCACATACATTCAAACAAGTCCACAATGCATTCGGCGCAATGGAGTGTGTGGTGCAACGTTGAGGTTGAGTTCAACGCAATCTATGGCTTCTGGAGCACTCCACTCTGAACAGCCTTGCATATTTTGAACAGTTGCATTGCCTCGTTTTCTTTGTTGGAACGCGTTAGCATTGGAGCACACTATTTTTGAAGCGGCTGAATATCGTAAAGAAAATGGATTTGAAGTCACGTTATCATCACGGATTGACGCATACATTATTGGATAGTATCCTTCACAGCATTCTAACAGTGTACATATACTTTGTTTGCAAAGAGGCCAATGGACAGCGAAAAAAAATTGATTTGTTCGTGAGAAAGAGCGAAATTTGGGGCCATTCCATGAGAGAAGCTTTGATCTATGATGAGGTGTACCATAACAATCTTGCAATGAACAAAGGCTTGTCTACGATAATAGAGTGCCTGCAACGCCACTTCTTCAGATTACGACGAAAAATTCTTCCAAAAATTGGAAAACGTCAGAAATTCTGATTCACTTTGTCGGAAAGTGATTCTCAGTGGGACATGTAAGAAGGAGTGTTGAGGGCAGACACTGTACATGCAGTCATCTACTGCCTCCACATTGGAAATGAACGATGAAGGCAGAACAAAATCAATCATTCATTTTTCCATTGTGCTAAGTGGG